GGGGGGGGGGGGGGGTTATTTCAGAGAGAAGCAAACAAAAAACAAAAAAACAACCAACCCTCTGTTCTGCAGACTTTTTACAGGTGATGAAATCCTGACCAGATCCTATGGCAGTGATGGTGAACCTTTTCGTTGTGGTGTGCCAAAAGCGCGTGCCCACAATGCAATGCGCCCTCCTCCTGTGCATATGCACGCAACGCCCCCATCCCGCCCCTTTACCTGCACTGCGCACGCGTGCGCCTCCCGGCTGATTTTTGGGCCCGCTTGAGGCTGTTTTTGCCCTCCCGGAGGCTCGAGGGAAACCTCTGCAGGCCTCGGGAGGCCGAAAAATAGGCCCGTTTTGGCACTTCCGGTATTTCCGGAAGGCCCATTTTTCAGCCTCCCGAGGCTGCAGAGGCTTCCCTCCAGCTTCCGTGAGGGAGAAAACAGTCTCAAGTGGGCCGAAAATCAGCTGGGAGCCACGCACATGCGCAGTGCAGGCTGGGGCGCACGTGCCCGCACAACTGGCTCTGCGTGCCGCCTGTGGCAGGCATGCCATAGGTTCGCCATCACGGTCCTATGGCAATCTTCTCACCTCTCAATATTATCAGGGCATGAAGGGCCCTTTCTTAGCTTACTGCCTCCTGAATCCGTTTCCCCTTGCTCACCCAGATAATACAGGCAGTCCTCGACTTACGACAGTTCATTTAGTGACCGACCGTTCGAAGTTAACAACGCTATTGACAAAAGGGACTCGGGACTACTATTCACGTTGAATGAGTATTGTGGTCTCGCCGAGGTCACGTGATCAAAACACAGGTGCTTGGCCACTGGCATGTACTTATGTCGGTTGCAGTGTCCCGGAGTCACGTTCTGACAAGCAAAGTCAACAGGGAAGCCCGACTCACTTAATGGCCATGTTATGAACTTCGCAAACTGCCGGGATTCCCTGAACGACGACGGCAAGCAAGGCCGTAGAACGGGGCCAAACTCGCTGAACAATGGTCTCACCTAGAGACAAGAAATTTTGGGCTCGATTACCATCGTCAAGGAGGTACCTGCAATGCCGGCAATTTGGCGTCGGCTATTTTGCAGTCATCCTGGAGGTTAGTTCCAAAGGTGCTTTTTTTTTTTTTCCCAAGAGGCAATTTGTTTTGAAGATGTTTCGCTTCTGATCCAAGAAGCTTCTTCCGTTCTGACTGAAGGGTGGAGGACGGAAGGATTTATATTCCTCACAGTCATCTGGTCATTCGTGCTCCTTCTGAGAGTCATTGAGGCCACTTGGATAGATGGAACAGTTAAGCCTCCAAGTGGCCTCAACGACTCTCAGAAACAACCAGATGACTGCAAGGAATATAAATCTTTGTCAGAGTAATATTCATGAACTGGAAGAAGAGCTTGGTAACAAGGTCAGCCAATGAATAGGCATAGCAACTAAGTCAGCCAGTGAGGACTGTTTGGAAACTGAAACTAGAAGTAGCTTAGGCGTGGCTCTGTATTAAGCTCTGCAACTCTGCAGCTCTGAGTCTGTCTATTGAAGATGAAACTAACTTGCTTGCCTGCTGAACTAAAGTGAAACTGATGTCTGTTTCTGAGCTGAAGCTGTTGCTGTTCTGCTCTGCACTTGTAACATGTCTGTTGAAGTTGCTTGCAACATGCTTCTGTTTGAGTTTGCTCCATGTTGGGTAAATCTACAATTGGTATTATAAAATCTACTTATTTGTGTTTATAAAGATGTTAAATGAAGCATCAGCCCTCCGTGTTTTATTTTTCTGGTGCTGAATTATTGCTGCAAAACTCTGAACAATCCTTCCATCCTCCACCCTTCAGTCAGAACCGAAGAAGCTTCTCGAATGAGAAGCGAAACGTCTTCAAAAGAAAAACCAGAAAGTCCAGTTGCCTCTCGAGCAAAAGCATTTTTGGGACAACCATCACCTGAATGATTGAGACTCTCCATAGACCTTTCCTTTGAAAAGGTTTTGCTTCGCACCCAAGAAGCTTCTTCAGTTTTGAAGAAGAACCGAAGAAGCTTCTTGGATGAGAAGCGAAATGTCTTCAAAGAAAAAAGAAGAAAGTCCAGTTGCCTCCTGAAAAAAGCACCTTTGGGACAACCAACACCTGGAGGATTGATGAGATCCCAGTGAATCAATGATAGAATAGGATAGAATTCTTTATTGGCCAAGTGTGATTGGACACACAAGGAATCTGTCTTGGTGCAAATGCTCTCGGTGTACATAAAATAAAAGATACATTCGTTAAGAATCAAGAATCATAACGTATAACACTGATCAAAGTTTTCTCGTCCACTTCTTTCAAACAAGGAGGAGAGAAATAACAGATCTCCAGACATGACATAAAACAAAAATGCCTACACAAATATAGAGATATATATCTTCAAAAAACCCAAACCTACCGAGAAAGACAAGCTTTATGGATAGCATGGTGGAGGTTTTCATCCGGGTAGTGAGAAAGACGCCGACAGATTCTCAAAAGTTGGCGGGTGGATAAGGAGGAGGCCAGAGATTGTGCCTGTTAATGAGAAATGAAACTAATTTATCTGTGATGACCGGAGGCGTGGCACAAAGGCAACCAAGCCAGATAATAAGTAGAGGTCCCTTTATTGGCTCCAACTTGGCCTCCAGTGTCCCAGTTACCTTCCGGCCTGGAGAAAAACTCTGTAAAAGTAAAAACTTGAGGTTAGATGTTACAATCTTATTCTGCTATACTAAAAGTTGCCTTTTCTTTCTTTATCCTTTCCTTTCCCAACTCTTCCCTCCCCTCCCCTCCCTTTTTCCTTCCCTACCCTTCCCTCTTCCTTTCCTTTCCCTCCTCTCTTCCTTTCCTTTCCTTTCCTTTCCCAACCCTCCCTTCCCCTTCCCTTTTTCCTTCCCTTCCCTTCTCTCTTCCTTTCCTTTCCTTTCCTTTCCTTTCCCTTTTCTCTTCCTTTTCTTTCCCAACCCTCCCTTCCCCTTCCCTTTTTCCTTCCCTTCCTTTCTCTCTTCCTTTCCTTTCCTTTCCCTTTTCTCTTCATTTTTTTTCCTTTCCTTTCCCAACCCTCCCTTCCCCTTCCCTTTTTCCTTCCCTTCCCTTCTCTCTTCCTTTCCTTTCCTTTCCTTTCCCTTTTC